ACACTGTAATGTACAATATATGGAGACCTCTTGTCTCCGTATTCATTCACAACTTTACGTGACCTCTGCATGGTCTCCCTAATTATGTTTTATATAAGAGGACCTCTGGTCTTGGCATTTATATAAATTCTATGTGACCTCTGGTCTCTCTAATGAACAACATAAGGTAACCTCTGGTCTCCACAATGAAGTACAACATAAGGTGACCTTTGGTTTCTCCATTGATGTACAACATCAGGTGACCCCTGGTCTCCCTGTTGATGTACAACATTAGGTGACCTCTGGTCTCCCTGTTGATGTACAATTTAAAGTGACCTTTGGAATCCCTTTTGATGTACACAATAAGTGACCTCTGGTCTCCCTATTGATATACAATTTAAGGTGACCCTAGTCTCCCTATTGATGTTCAATATTAGCTGACCTCTGGATTCCCTATTAATGTAAAATATAAGGTGACTTCTGGTCGCCCAAGGATGTACAATTTAAGGGGACCTCTAGTCCCCCTAATGATAAACAATAAAAAGTTACCTTTAGTCCCCCTAATGATGTACAAGTCTGTTGATTTTCCTTTTTCTATAGGAACAAAGGTAACCTTTATTTGTATTATGATATAAAATAACCTTTATTTGTGTTATGATAAAAGAACTGGTGTACTCTTTGTTTATGTAAGATAGGAGAAATTATACAGTGAAAGAAATAATTTTTTCTTCACATGATTAAATGTTTTAAAGAAGCTTATTTTCATACTTTTTGCCTTTATTTTTTCGTTGTCTTTTAGTTAAGCAGAATTAAGTATCGTAGATGACTGATTATACTGAACCAAAGACCTAAATTGAACACTTTAGGTCTATGACTGAACGAATGAAGAAAAAGTCTCAATTTCCCTGTGTGCAATTTTTAACACAGTAACAAATACATTGGTTCTCAAACTGCTGATAATATTACATGTATTGTTTGATAAAGTTAAGCAGTGAAACATTTGTGAAACGGGGGAGGAGGGGGGGGGGGGGAAGAGGAGCCTTAATTATGACATCAACTTGTCATGTTTTAATATTTAAAACATTACCTTCACATCGCTGCTGATCTATTAGAAAGATCTATATAAAGTTATTAATATAAATATATTGGAGTAAGACAGAGAAAACTGTTTTTTTTTTAAATAAAATTCAATCAAAATATAGGGTGACCTGAGGTCACCATTTGATACAGATGAATTAACTTTTGTGCCTTTAATGCCTGAAGAATTCATATAATGTTTTATTACTACGCAAAATGACGAACTATTTGCGAGTGACCCGAGATTCTAGTTGAGCGTACGTTTTATCCTCCTGCTGCTGAAGATGTGACCCGTGTAAACCGAGCGTTCTGATTGGCTAATGTTTCTGTCAATTAAAATCGGCGATCCGCCAATTCTTTAATTTCGAGAGATGGGGAGTTTAAATTGGAAAATTTAAAATCAAAATAGAAAGGTTTTCGTGAAGGCTGAATCTATAGTTTGCGTTTTCCAGCTTCGGAAAGACTTCAAAACTGGATTTAACGTACGAATGTTACCTCGTTTTAGTCGACGTTGGTTCCCTTTTCTTTTTGTATATATAGTGATTACGTAAAATCAAACATAATACATGTATGTTAGCGGCCACTGTGATGATTGACACAAAAATTTCATTTCTTATGGAAATTTATACTTAATATCTCGTATGTTCTTAAAGCGGTTAATATTCCTTTCAAATTTAATAAATAACTATGGATTGTTTCTGACCGATTCTACTACAAAATAATAATCATAATAACAAAGTTTAGTTCAAGTTCATATTTGACTGACAACTTTTTCATATTTTGATCATGCACATACTTTTATAAGAAAATCAAAGAGGTTTGAAAACTGAATTTATTAGGAGATGTTTGGAAGAATGATGTTTTTGGTATACTTTATTGTAAGGAAATATATCCCACACCTGAGTCAACATGCATGTATGCTCTCTCTCTCTCTCTCTGGTTTCATTCTATACCAATTAAAGATTTATTTTACATATTGTTTACTTCAAGTTTAAATGTATTCATTATATGTACCTTAGTTTAAACTTTATTTCATTTTAAATAAGGCATATGTGCACAATAAATAATACATCGGAAACAAGTTGTTACAACTTATATTAATCCGTTTCCTTATATTAACTTTCAACTATGAATATAGTACATTAGCCCTTGTTGCATGGCAAATATAATAGAAACAATAATTGAAAAAATAAAGAATGAATGAATTAAAATGAACAAAAATGAGCTAAAAAAACGAACAAATACGAGGGGCATTTCAAAAGTTCTGGCAACTGGTGTGCGGTAAATTAATGAACGTCATTATCATAAATTAAATCATATCAATCCCTCAAAATAGTCTCCGTTGATCTGGACACACTTTTTCAGTCTTGAAATCCACGTGGAAAATGCTGCCCTATAGTCCTCTTTCGGTATACGCTTCATACACTGGAATACGGCACTTCCGACTGCATGACGACTTTCAAATCGCCGTCCTCGGAGGGCTTCTTTGATAACGGCATCCAACCAAAAATCGCATGGAGCTAGGTCAGGAATGTAGGTGGATGTGGTAAAACGGCAATACCATTTTCCTTTAAATATTTGGTTACTACCTCTGATCTATGGGCAGGTGCGTAGTCATGGAGTCATATAGTGCTCTACAACCTGAGACAAGACATTCTCTGCATAAAATTGACCAGTAACACTGCTGTGTTCTGGAACCGGAACTTGAGCAACAGGGCCTTTAGAATCAAAAAATAAGGCGTACATTACTCTCCGGACAGACCGGTTTCTGCGTGCAATTTGAGGCCTTGTATCATTTTCACCGATCCAAACTTTATTATTGAGCTTAGTTTCCGGTTCAAAAAAATATATCCATGTTTCATCACCAGTTACAATCTCATTTATTCGCCTTTGGTCACAATCTTCATAAATTGTTAGTAACTGTGAAGCCATTTCTACCCGGATGCGCTTTTGCTCTTCCGAGAGAAGATGCGGCACCCATCTATCACAGACTTTCCTAAGCTTTAAGTTTTCCTTTAAAATACGAAAAACTGCAGACGAATTAATGTTAGTTAAGTCTGCTATTTCCTGAACTGTATATCTAGCATCATCAGCTATCGTATTTTGAACAGCGACGATTTCTTTTTCGCCATATGCACAAACTTTACGCCCCGAACGGGGGACATCTTCAATTGATTTTCTACCCTCTTTAAATTGAACTACCCATCTTGCTATTGCTCGATGTGAAAGAGCGTAGTTAAAATTTTATATACCAGTTGCCAGAACATTTGAAATGCCCCTCGTATTTGGAGAGATAGAACATGAGTTCATTCACTTTTAAATATAACGGTTAGAAAGTAAGGAATAAACAGTCATACAATCCAAATTCAACAATTCATTTCTTACGTCTTCTACAAAACTCAAGAATGACCTTCCGATAAATGTTCAAGAGAATCCTCCAAAATCTAATTTAAAACGCGTGCTTAACACAACCGCTTATAATTTCTGTTTGGTAAGCACAAAGAATAGATATTACACACACGAATTGGACTTAATTGTTGTACATATAATTCTCATTCATTTGCAAAACATATAATAGATACTCGTAATTGTGCTTGTGGAAAAATTGAACCAACAACACACTTTTTATTCGAATGCCCTCTCTATAATGACTCAAGGAAAAAATTCATTGACCCATTAGTGCCAGTTACTTTAAACATCCTCTTATTTGGAGATCCAACTGGAAATTTTTAAACATGTACATCAGTTTATTTCTGCTTCTAAAAGATTTGTAACTTGAGTCTTACTTGTTGGTCGTATTGTTGATTGTGCATAGTGGTTTGAGTAATGTAGTGCCAGATGGACCCCTGATGATTGCAGAGACGGGTCAAATGCACTTTAACCATTAAAATGTGCACTTTAAAACCACCAAAATTCTCTCAATTACTTGCAATGCAGCAATTGTCCCAATGTTTCAGTAAGAGTATATGCGATTCTTATAAGTTTAAGAAATCTGGATGATAGGATGCTGGTGTTCAAATTATACACCATCTATATTTAAATCATTCTCCGCATTTGTCTTCAAAAACAAAACAAAAAACTACCTACCTACCTACTCACATCTAAAATGACGAGTCGCGTTACCGCAAAAAATTCCATTTTTTAAGGATGGCCTGGTGTGTTTCATTGATTCTTGAAGGGATTAAAGAAGATAAATAATCAAGGGTACTTCTATGGACCATGGTATGAAATTTGATTATTTTGTGTTTTTGTCTTCTACTGTGCAAAGTATCCCATCAAACTTCCCGATAAAGATCATTTAAACTTACGAATTTAGTCGCACCTGGGACTATGCGAGCTGCCTCTATGATAATTTTTTCGAGTTTGTCAGCTAAATCTTTTGAGATATTGTCCCAAACTACATCTGCATACTCAATAACTGGCCTTATAAATGAAAAGTATAGTTTTTCTAAAAAATTCTGTCTAATAAAAATCTGAGTCGTCTTAGAATGTGTAACCTAGACGACGCTTTCGCCACGACAATATTAACATAATACGACTATATATGTACCTGTGAAAAATATAGACATTCATGCCTGCTGTTCAATCCAATTCATGTAGCAAAAAATAAACATTTATTTAAAACAAAAACAAACAAAGTACTTGCATCGTAGTTCCATCATAATTCCTTTTTTCTATCTATATAATTTTAGCTAAGGGTTATTTTCTAGTCTTATTTCACAAAAATACTTTTTACTCCCATTTACTCAACATTGTTATAGGCCAGTAGGAAGTATATTCATGGGGGAGGGGGGGGGGCAAACAAAAATTTCAAAAGCAAAAGCAGGGGATCATCAGACGTTATTTTGAGGGGGGCAAAATTGTAACTGACCTTTAAATTTTTGGGGGCAAAATTATTGTGAGAGCATCCCCTCCGAACCCATTTCGGTTCCTACAGGCCTATATTAGTACTCTATTCTCTTGACTTTTCCTGTATCAAATTCCCCCACCATTAACTCCCTCTCCTTAAGAACACACACGGCGACGGGTCCGTTTATCCCCAGGTAAGGAATGATGTACCTCAGAAATTGACCATTCCTTTTCAACATGTGGATCTTGTCATTGTGAGCGTCAGTGATGATGATATGATGCATGCTGTCTGTGGTAATGGATGTGGCATGGAATTTATACTTGGATGCTCTGTTCCCTGAGTAGGAAAACCTGAATACTCCGTATTTGTCAACGACTATGAGAGCCTCTTTACCCCAGTCAGCAACACAAATGTCGTTACCGTTCTCAACCACGTGAACTGCATAGCTAAACAGAGGCTGGTGCTGTGAATCATGCTGGATTTCATGGATCACTTCACCAGAAGTACTGTACCGAACGATCTTAGACTCTTTTTTGCCTGATGTGCATAGACAGACCAGAAGATTCCCCGCAATGGTACATGTGATACCTTGAGGTTGAAACTCTCCAGTGTGGAACAAAGTATCTACTTCTCTGTTGATTATTTTCATCACAGTATGATTCTTAGGATCAGAGTACACTATGTGTCCGTCGTACAGGGTCAGGTAATAACCTAAAGCCGAAATGGTGATAGTATCGAGAAGACGCCCTTGAAAATCGAAAAGCTTGAGCTCATTACTATGCCCACCTGTCCACACTCTGTCCTCGCCAAGGGGAACTATGCTGTTTAGGCGGTGGCCACTGCTTTTGTCAGCTGGAAACCCTGTATCAAATGTGAAAAGAACGGTTGGTACATCTAGAGATTGACGTTGTGATTGGACTTTATCTTCTGAGTCATCAATAGAAAGTTTATACGATTCAAATGTCTCTATGTTTATGTAACCAAAGTGAGTTGCGATATAATTTTCATCCAATTTGCAAGGTTGAAAGTATGCTGTTTGAGTTTTTTCTTCAGAGGATGGAATCTTAAGATTTTCAAGGTCAACTTTAAGTTTCATTAAACCGGAAACATCTTTAGATTTTGATAAATTAAAGGCTGATCGTTTCAGATTCTTTAATTTCTTTAGTATCTTCTCAAATTCTGTCTTCTGCATTAGTAATAAAGCTATATTCTTTTCTTGCATTTTGTCCAGGTCTTCGTGAATTTTTTTCTTTGTTCTTTCAATCTCCTTATGCCACTTTCTGGCTTGGGTTGTGACATCGTCTTTTGATTGTTGGTAGACCTGTGGAAGACCTTCTATTTTTTTACTAGTATGATCCAAAAAGTTTTCCAGTTCCGATTCCATGGACTGTAAACGTTCATTTTCTTTTGAAATAAAATCTGAAAGGTCATCGGCTTTCTCTGATAATTCCATGATCTCATGGGTCCGGTGTTTTATAGACACACACAGGAGGCAGATTGGAATGTCGCAAGTACTGCAAAAGGCACAACACTGTTGTTTGGGGTGGGTAAGACAGTTCTCTTCTTTAGTTTTATTTAGTTCGCTGTATTTAACTACATCATGTTCGTTTTCTGATTTCAGTACCATATGAGGACCTACACATGTAGTGCAGAGTTTTACAACACATCGTCTGCAAGTAAAGACGACAGGATTCTGGCAGATTTCGCATTCCAAGTAGTGTTGTCCTTGATCGAGATTCGAGGAAGCCATTTTTCTTTATTTTCAATCACCACCTGTGAGCATGCATGGAGAGAGATCAGTATATTTTAGACAACTATACCATCATTAACATATTCATTTAATATCTTTTTTAAATTTGGTTTAGAATTTTTAGCTGAACTTTAAGAAAAAGATTCAGAAATGGCGATATTTCATTTAAAAAAAAACTTGAAAACAGGAAAATTGAAGTAGGATGAATGGAGCATTATAAAATTGATTTTCAAGATGAAGTAGCAGTTGTATTGAAATTGTCTCCATTGGTATTGAAATTGTCAACATTTCGATACTTAAATCATGGGGTTAGATTATTTTTGCTCTTGCGTAGTAAAAAATCTATAGAGAGTAAAATTATGTTAAGTGACATGAATGATTTTTTTTAAAATTTTTAAAAGAAGTTGATATGGAGTAAAACTATGGTCATTGACAACAATATTTTATGAACGTCGTATAAACTAGAAATCTAATTTTGCTATATATTGTTAAATTGCAGGTATAAAAAATTTGGGAAATTGGGCCATCTTATTTGATTGAGAAAAAATTTTAAATATACAAACCTTGATATAACTTTTCCATATTGAATGTGTATATTCCCAGGGCTTCCAGAGAGCGCTTAAAACTTGCAAAAAGAGTCATCTGTATAAGAATATATGATACAGAAAGGACGAGTGTTAATTCTGCTTGAGATTTATCTCAATTTCCGAGCATAATTTACAAGTTGTATATTTTATTTATTAAGGTCTTCCGTCTTCTACGGAAGACCTTCTTGTTATTCTAAGTTTCTTTTTCACTTTTATTTACCGATTTTGTGCGCGCGATTTCTAGGAAACGGCTTGATGGTTTTCCATGAAATTTTCAGGATTTATGTAACATCATTTGAACCTTATGCCTTTGTTCTGTTGTTGACGTTACTTCCGGTCCGGAGATATAGTCGATTTTATGATTTTTGAAGGGTCGGTTTGTTTATCCGCAGATTTTCTCATAAACGGCTCTATATATAAACATGAAACTTTCAGGTACATGTAAGGAAGGCCTACATGTATGTCTGTAGATATGCGTAAGGTATTTTATTTTTATCGGAAATGCCGCACGTCTGCGTTCACCATGGTATGAAAAAAAGGCATATCAAAAATTTTAAAATTTTTCCACAATTTTCTTTACATGTAAATAATTTGTTAAAACATAGAGAACAAAATTTGTGCAAAATTACAAGATCTTTCATCTGATATCAACAAAAAGGGGCTGGCCCCTAAAATAAGGGATTTAGAGGGGCCGAAAGTTTTTTCTCCCTATTTTAATAACTATTGAAATTTGTAATACATTATTGAAACAATGTTGTTTAAAATAAGAAGTGGCAGCTGATGAGATCATCAATAGTCGTCTAATGACGTAACTTCCGGTAAAACCGGAAGTAATCAGGAAATGCATATTTTTGTAGTTTCCAACACGTAATTGGGTGATTTAAATAACTGGAAGCGTCCGACCTCATTTTTCGTCGATCGACGTCACCTCCGGGCAAACTGGAAGTAGTCTGAAAAAACTTATTTTTGCAGGTATCGGCACGAAATTGAATGATTTAAGCCTTTGGAGACGCCCGAACTTATTTTTCGTCGATCAACTTCACTTCCACTCAAACCGGAAGTAGTTACCAGTGGCCTGTTTTAAAAACATCTCCTTGCAATTAAATGATAAAAGTCCCTGAAGACGTCTCATATCATTCAAAGTCGAATGGTTTTTAAAACAGTGTTTTTTTTTATATACTAATTTGCATTTTTGCTGATTTGGACGGAAGAGCTGCTTGTTGCTCCAGAAACGAGCTTTGCTAGTTTTAACTCTTGTATTTTGATTACTTATAATCATTTTGCAATTAAAAAAATTATGTTGATTTTTTATTTTCAAATATCATTACCCTTATCGTTCACATAACATGGATTCCACCTTTGTGTGGCCCTATTACTGAAAGGCACGTGGTTTATTACTCCTTTAAAACACTTTAGACAAGCATCTCATTTTACATCCTTGTTTATTTTTAGGGTGCGAGTTTCCAATAAGAGTAGCTTTGTCAGTGTATGGTGTTAAATGAATGACACCGGATAGTGCTACTTAGCAAGTGAGATAAACAACGCTAGGTCTGAAATTCTCCGTTAGATGATTTGATCAAGTGAACACTCTTTCTATGAGTTTCCCGGTACATCAAGCAAACTTTAAAGTGAAGTTTAACTTGTTTTTTTTTAATGATCAAAGTACTGAATTGAAGTGATGTTTTCTTGTAAAATGCGATGTAATAGGCATGTGCAAAAGCTTATATCGAGGAGAAAACAATGAAATCATATGCAAGCACGATTTGCGCAGATTTTAATGCATTTTGTAACTTATTTCCTGGTGTTGTAAATATGCATGTCGTTGATAATGACGACCTTAACAATCCTTTTAAAAGATCTTAAATACAGGGTTCTCCAATATTTCAATTGGCGACAGAACTTTATTCTTTCGAGAATTATACCAAATGATTGGCGAAATATGAAGGGGAAGACCCTAACACTTTGTCAGAAGTGATTGTGTTTCAGATCTCTATTAATGAATCGTATCAGAAAGCTTAAGGGCAACATGCGAAGCATTTTTCGTTCCGCTTTCACTAATTCGGAAGTAAGAAATGAACAAGCTATTGCAGAGAATATGTGTCCCCCGCTTAGGGAAAACAGAAGAGCATGCGCAGTTCCGGGGGAAGTCAAGGTCATAAATTCTGTCTGTTTTAACACTTTCATTTCCGCACGATATCTCAAGAATCCTTTGAGCTTTTGCAATGAAATTTTACATAACAACTCCCTGTGGCCTAAGAAAGAATCCTATTGATTTTGAGGTCAAAAGGTCAAAGTTTAAGGTCATAAATTCATACATTCCTTCTGTGTGTAACACTTCCGTTTCCGGGCGATATCTTAAGAAGCTTTTGAGCTTTTGCAATGAAATTTTATACCATAACTCCCTATAGCCTCTCTCGCCCCTCTCAAAGTGTCCCGCCCCGTTTTTTAAAAATTATTTATTGTATTAAAAGTCGCTTGACACTATTTTTAGCACAGGGGCATGTGGGGAGTAATTACGTATAATACAGGTTGTCGGCGGACTTTATGTTCTTATTACATCTACATGTATTAGAACTGTTTAGTAAAGGCTAAATTAGAAATCATGTATTGTGCAAAATTTTGACAATACCGAACGTGAATATAAACATTATATGTGACCTAATGTTTGCATTTAATTTTCCATTTAATCAAGTGCCTCCGTGGTCTAGGGGTGTAACTCTCGCTTAGCATGTGAGAGGTGCCGGGTTCAAATCCCGAACGATCTTTTTGGGGGATTTTTTTTAATTGGATTTACTAAGTGATAGTATTCAGCATGTGAAATGAAAAAGTTACGACGTCTGGCTTGTACAAACTCATAAAATCATTATTACAGTGTGATAAATATTCTATATAAAAAGAATTTTCTATACACATATTCAAGAATAAGCAATCAAATCTTTATATCCATCTTGGCATTTTTTATTTGCTTCAATATACATGTATACATTTAATAATTCTACAAATCCGGGGGGGAGTCCGACCCCCCCCCCCCCCGGGAACTGCGCATGCTCTTCTTTTTTCCCTAAGCGGGGGACACAAATTCTCTGAATAAGCTTGTTGACAATATCGAACGTGAACATAAACATTATTTGTGACCTAATGTTTGCATTTAATCAGCAGTATAATCAAGTGTCCCCTAGGTCTAGGGGTATGACTCTCGCTTAGCATATGAGAGGACCGGCTTCAAAACCTGGTCGATCCTTTTTTTTTTTCTTTTTTTTTTTTGGTAATTTTTTTTTTTTGGATTTACTATATAAATGATAGTATTTAGCATGTGAAATGACAAGAATAGAAATGGGTTACCCCATATCCAAGATATTCGACTTTTAATTTATTCGAATTTTCATTGTGCTCAGATGATTTCTAATTTAAAAAAAAAACTATTTACTGATAAAACGTCAGAGATACTCAAGCTGTAGAAAGTCAACTATACAATGGCCATAAATAACCTAAAATGACATAATATTTAGGCTACTGAGTTTCAACATCTTTTGTTGAATAAAATATGCATGTACTAAGGAAACTGCATGTACATACATGCATATAACGTTACATGCGATTAGTGACTTTTATTATCACAACGTTGCAGATGCCTATAGAAATAGTTTTAATTTCACATAGAACATAGACTAAATATAATTAACCGTATAATTTTAAAGATGTATTTAACAGCTCACTCATTTTCAGGAATATTTAATCCAAATAGCATGTTACAGGCCTGTAGCAACGTTTCCAAAGTGAAAGGGGGGGGGGCTCCGAAAAAATCCCGCGTACTATGGGCCTGTGCTACATGTGTACCATCTAACTTTCCAATGTTAGAATCTTCTGTAAAAATTCGAAACAAGTCCAAGCAAAGATCAAAGATAGCCCAATTTTTTAAATAGCAAAACTATAGATCTATCAAGGATAGATTTTAATTTATTTTTTAATTTTGTGCTATTAAAGTACTATCACTCAAAGTATAGGCAGATGTTAAAGATGGGTCAACAAGAGTAATCAATGAACTCGTCTAGAGATGCATTGACGGCCGTTGTTAAACGCAAAGGAAAGCGCGAGATCGGTTGCGGCTGTTGAGCATCACTCCTTCGTCATAGAATAAAATCCGACATTTAACACTTATATAGATTTTGAATATAGAGATGTTTTGAAGATTAACTTCATTTTTGTTTCTAGAAATGTTTTTATTTTTAAAATAGTACATTTTCGTGTTTTTAAACTGAGTAGATCAATGACCTAGCATCGTTTTAGGTA